GAGCCAAAATCCCCTTTAGTCTTCATCAATTTCTGGTCGGCCCCCTAAATGCCCTCGTGACAAAGCCTTCACTCTAAAGTGTGAGTGCCAACAATTGAATTTGAATCTTCAATGTAAATTGTGAGTTTAACTCTTTAATCCCTAAGCGACTTTGTTCTTCTAGCTCCTTTAAAACCAGAACTTTTTGGTAGGAAACGAGATGAATTGGACTCTCCCAACATGGGTGGTCTTACATTTACCTCACCCCTTACCCCTTCTATAACCTTCCCTTAAAGCGCACGGAAATGGGCTGTGGTTGGCTCGGATAATTTTACCCCCTACCACGCTTATCTCCTAAGCGATCTCAAAACCTCACCTCCCCTCAAAAGAAGCCAATTGCCTCAGACCGGCCTTCGTTACTGTTAAGGGGAAATTTGTAAACTGCCCGGGACCGCCTCGCTCGGTGTGAGAGGGTTAAGCCTCTTCTTAACATGGTCGAATATCTAGGAAATTCCATTCAGCCTCTCGGAAGATATTCGAAAAAATTTGTTAATCCAAAGATGTTCACATTTTCCTGTCACCCCATCGTATATTGTAAAGAGGGTGAAAATCTCGATCATAATGGGCTGTCCAGCTCAATGGAGTTGGGAAAAATAAAGGGTTGAAATTTTCGTTTTACCATAATTCCCTTATTATTGAAGGTAGAAAGATGATTTAAAATAGGTGAGTTATTACCTCGTCGTAATAAACAACTTCTGTATTTAATATTTTTTATATTTGCAGTCCCTTAAGAAAGGTGATTTTCAAACCTGAACTTTGAGTGCTTTTTAACTTGCACCTCGTTGTAAAGCTTCATCAGTTGCATTCTTTTCCACTTTCTTTCATCCTCATACCTCCAACCTTTATGAAGTTAGATTTGTTACATAAAATACATGTGTAGTTATGTTTGAAATGTGGTTGTAATTTCCTGTGAATTGACACCATTGTCTTCTTACGACGCAGACGGTAAATTCAATTTAGAAAACTGGAAAGCATGCTGGAAAAAATCTTTCAGAAACTAATCATTCCTGCAAGAAAAATAAATCAGTAGCATTACTATGAATTCTAGATATGCTTTGTCAATTTCTTCAACATCTAGAACGAATTTATTACAGCTTGACAAGCTTTAGAAAATCTCAACTCAAAGGAGGTGCAGATCCATTAGATAACAAGATGGGCCAGACATCGAAGATTCTCGATCGAAGTGCATGTAGGAAATGAAAATGACTCACGGAAATATTTTTAGCCGATCTCCGATCGTATTTTATGGAAACAATTTCAAGTTGTATCAAGTATTTACAGAGAAAAAATCTTGATAATGGAACGTCCAGATCGTAAACTGAGACAACTGATACAAATATTTCAAAAGAATCCTAAAAGAAAACGGAAAAGACAGTAAATATATAAGGAAAAGAAATTCTACTGAATAATTCAACACAGTCAGGGCAGAAATTTGCTGTATGACCAACCCCCGCCCCGCCCTAAAAGCATGCAGAAAAATTGTCTGTTAATATTTCACAATTTACGGGTACTTTTCAGCTCAGAAAACAGCAGCAAAAATGAATGTACTTCGTTGGCTTATTTTCAATGAATCAATATGTCAGGAGGAGTATATCTACGTGAAGTACAGTAAAAATTTCCACATTTCATACAACTGGAAAGACGACCATTTCCATTACTCACCTCGACCATTTCGGTCCATTTGAGACTAAAGGGAAGTCTATCCACTTTTCATAATAGACGCCGTTGTAGCATTTGTAAGAATCGAACCAAATTAACTATTGATAGATTTTTTGTTATTGCAAATATACCAACGAAATTTGGACTTGAAATTAGAATTTGTTTTAGCTACTTGTCATTGAAATTGCAGCAATGACCATTAGTCACTTTGACCATTTAGGTCCATTTGAGGCTAAAGGAAACTCTGTACACTTCTCATAATAGATGTCATTGCAAAATTTGTAAAAGCTATTGTAAAATGTTTATTAATAGATTATACTTTACAACATATAGTTGTGTGAAATCTACATAAATAAATGCGAGAATTCATAAATATTTTATATGCTATAGAATTTCAAACTACTGGATAGATTTTCCTTAAATTTTATTGGCAAATACTATGAATTATAAGGAAAAAGGTGTTGTGACGATTAATTAAGTAGTGATTTTTTATTAAATCATGTTTCCATGTATAGAAAGTATTATTTTATCTTTAGTGTTACCATTCCAATCGAATCAAAATATTTAGAGATTTTAAATCATTTTGTGTATTTGCCTCCGAGTTGCCACCTTCAATGTTTAATTAAATTTTGTATCATTGTTTAAAAATTATTAATAACTTATGGGGAAAATTAGCATTCAGAAATTTTTAAAACTTGTTTAGTACAGTCTGTAATTTTGCGGGATTAGAAATTGAATATTCTCAATTTAATTAAAAATAAATTTGAAGACGATAAGATCATTTTGTATATTATAATATTTTATATAAAAGTGTTTGTATATTAAAAATATTATATATTTCTGAAAAAATAGACGTGAAATATTTTCAATTCGATCGATGCATGTTATATCAATTAGTTGTGAATAAAGCTGGGCTTCTGAAATGATGATTTTTGTATGCTGCTTGTGATAAATAAGGAAAATGCCCTGGCTTGACATAGCATCAGAGGTGAATTGAGTGACCCGTCCGCCGCGAATAGCAAATTCGGCACTATAGCCAACGCATTATAGCCCTCATTACGAGAGGAACATATGACGACCGCACAGAGAGAGGTATGACCCGCCATCGATATGGAGGTATTTCAACCCCATACCATTATTGTACCCACCAGGGAAGCGAAAACCTGCGTACTTACGGCAACTTCTAAACGCCATATATGAGGTACCTCAATTGGGACTGCTTGTGGTATAAAATGCCTCAAGTTATTTCATGTTAAATAGAAAATTTAAATAGGTTTGTAGAAAAGTAAAGGAAGGTGAGTTTAACTTTAACAACAAAACAAAGGGGTTGTTATGAAATTTGAGTTATAAGAGCACCTTGCAGTTGGGACATTCCAAAGCGCAACAATACAGAGATCAATCACGTCACTGATATAGCCAAACAGAAAGATAGAAGATTTTGATAATGATTACTAAGCAATTATATTGAATAATTTCTAAATATCTTTTTCATGTAACCAAAACGTCATAATATTTCTGGATCAATTCGAAAATCAAACACATTATAAATGTTTTGCAAAACTCAATCAACTCGCACAAGGATAATTTCTTTCGAGAAAATTTTTAAACTACACAGAAAAATAAACATTGAGTCAATTCACGTGGAATCAGATAATGACTAGGTAAACTGCGAGTGCCATCTAACATCTAAATGTACATTGTCTTACGCTAAATTGTGACCACACTTCCTTTTTCCTACAGAATTCCTGTTTCCTTTTCTTGAATTAAAATATTAAAAAATATCTAAAACACTGGCGCGATACACTTTATGCGACTCACCGGAGTATGAATTAATACTTTTATCTGCTCACACATTATAATCAGCCACATTTCGTTAAAAAATGGAAAGCACCAGGAAGGAATTATCCAACAGAAAAAAACGTGAATTCGAACCTTTACTCCTAAGCATCGCAGCACGAAAATGTTTTAGGTTTAGTTTGCCTTCCTTGTCTTCTTGTGGCTTGATAACATCAGCTGCTGTATTCTGTGCGTAACTATTTTTATATCACGCACATACCAATGATGGGTGATTTAACGGAGCGCACGAGCTAAATGCTCCAAAATCTCCGAAGCCTGAAACTTATTTAAGTTAGACCTTGCTTAAAAAATGGTTTAAACTTGAATCTTTTTTGTATCTGTAAAGTAATTTTAGTTATGCTGCCACTCTTTCATTCATTCACACAAAACATTTACTCCATCTCTATATTTAAAATAATTTTGTAAAACCTTCATACAGTTCGCCAGCCCCAATCACCAGACCGATTTCGACAATCTTTATTTGATATAAAAGCTTATGACGTCTAGATATGTCATAAAGGCTCGCCTGTCCCCGACCACTCCCCATTTTCTAACGAAATCGAAAAAACATTTCTCCATCATACATTCTCTATGGGGAAAACCTTTAAACAGTTCGCCAACCACAACCACTCTACGGATTTCGATAATTTTTATTTCGTATAAAAGCTTATGACGTCTAGATATGTCATAAAGGATCGCCTGTCTCCTACCACCCTTAATTTTTAAGAGATGTTGCAAAATAAACGGAATATATTGACGGACATAACGGAAAGTTGTTGCAAAATAGTACGGAGTTCCTGAGCCTCAAAAACTGGACTGATTTCGCCAATTTATTACGTCACTTCTTTCAAATAACTAACGAATCAGAATGTTCCGCTTTATTTTTATAAGTTTAAAATAGTAGTTTTCATTTGTACGCAGTTCTGTAGCATTTCATTTCAGTTTAATTTAACTTTAAAAGCAAACGATTTTGTTAAGACATCTCTATATTTTGGTTTTAATAGCAGACGATTTTGTTAAGATATATTTATAAATATCATTATCTTTATTTTAGTTACTATTTAATTTAAAATCAATAACAGACGATTTTGTTTCCTTTTTAAATTTACTTTTATCAGATTGGAAACAAGAAAATTAGCTGTTGTTAAAGCAACTAGATGGGGTTTATTGAAAGATTTTACAATTTTAAAGAAATCTGTTCTCTACAAAGAATATGAAATCTACTATGGTTTTATGGTCTGTTCCACTGATCTTCATGTGGTATTTAAAACTGAAAAAGTAGTGGCTGAGGGCCTCGAAGCAGCGAGGTGGAAGGGGCAGTGCTGAGCAAAGTGGGTGCTGGCCGCGAGCCTCCCGGAGGGCGGCTAGTATGATGATAGAAATAATTAAGAGAGAGAGAAAAAAAAAGTGTACGGGTTTTACCTGACCATTAAACTGGTGTGAATTTGTATGGTTATGCGGTAATCGACCCTCGGCGGGACTCGAACCCGTAACCCGCGGTTTAGGAGACCGATACCTTACCCGTTTGGCTACGAGGGCTTCTTGCAGGGGCACAATTTACTGAAAGAATGCCACCCTATGTGTCTGTCTTGCGCAAATCTTTATACTCGTCCTTTCCTTTGTCATTTGTTTTTAAGCAACGATTTTTGTATCACCCAGTTTACAGAAAGTAAGCCAGCCTAAAACCATTATTGTGTTAAAAAATGTTTGTGTTTTAATTAATCATACTGAAAACCGTGGTTAAAATTTCAGACCAACGCGACGGCTTTTCTGAAGGAAAGCGTTGCTCAGAATCAGAACATTAGGTTGAAACTGACCAATTACTGGAGTGAATTCTCAGAATGTAAGTAATTTTGAATCTAAGAATTTTTAAATTAAAAATTGATGCAAGAATTTTTATTTTAAGTCTTTTAGTCTTTTTGAGTTTTTGATTTAGTGTTATTATTATTGCTTTTTTTTAATTTCGCGGTTTCCTGTTGAATATACATTTTATAGTATCATAAAATAATATATATCAGAAACAGTTTAAACAACAGAGAAACTAGATATGTCTAGAACTGGAAGATATTTCATTAGATATAATTATAGAGCAAATAATATTTAAGTCAATTATTCTTTGAAATATAAACCACCAGTTTATAGAAAACGAAATATTGTCTCAGAAATGAAGTATATTGACGGCACTGAAGATTAAATGCTTGTGATTACTTCCGAACAAGTAGAGATTTATTACGTTTAAACATATCTTCACAGAGTTTTTGAAATCGATTTATTTACTTTTCAATATGTTTAAGTAGGAGCAAAGCAAACATCGATTTTGTTTGTCTTAGGATGAGAAAGTGCATATTTATTAAGGTCTGGTTTTTTCACCTAAAGGTTTAAGTGATACACAAAATATGAACCAAACAGCTGCTGTTTGTGTGTTTTTGATTATATAAGGTAGCTTGTATACGTTGAGTTATAAAAATAAAAATTTAACTCCTTGTTTTTGCGTTGAATATACTAAGTTTAGGTATTTCGTTACAACCAGAGAAAAGTAGAAATGCACATAATGTTATTAAAATTTACCATTTTTGTAAATTTAAAAAAATTAATAAAATATTGGTATATAAATAATGTGATTATTATATTATATGAAAATATAATGAAATATTGATAATATTTCATTATATTTTCTCTCATTTGTTACGACATGAATTGAATTGGGTGAGTCAAAATAAAGAGAATATCATCTGGTACTGAAAATACTGGAAGAAATTTTTCTCTGCATAAGGGCTTGGGAAGACAACACTATTCCTGCGAAACTAATATGTAAGAAGCTATCATCACCTCATGAATATGAAGACTGCTCGCACATTGTTTTACCATTTTTATAACGGGATGTATAAACAATCTTCGGTTCAAATTTTTTTATTTATATTGTAATGAATTTCTCAGATATTAAACTATTGTCTGATATTAAAAAGTTTTCTGTAATTACAAAATGACGTTTGTAATTAGTAATGTTATAGCAATGTAATCTTGCTTAACTGGCAAAATAAGCATTGGAGAAGATTATGTTTCAGTTTTCCCAAAGAGGAATATCCCTATTTTGTTATTCGAGAACGCTCAAAAAGCTATGAAATCAGTATATCTAAAGGCAGCATAATTTTTAATAATGAAAATAAAGCGAATAAAATTTTCCAATTATCTGAAAAAAAGTATTCCAAATACTTTTCCAAAAAATATCGAATTTTTGTGAATATTTCTAAGGTCTCTTATTCTTGCTTGGAGATGTTGCATTCATTTAGCACTAAACTGATAATTAATCAGCCAGCTATTGAATAATATCACTTGGGAACACAAGATGACTAAAATCAAAATTTGCAACGGATTTTCATTCGTTGTAACTTACAAACAGAATATATATTCAAAGGATTCATTGATTACTTAATCAGCTCACTTTAAATAGCTCATCTTATATTATATCAGTTTGCACGTGGATGAGTTAATTAAAAATAATATAATTTAGTGCTGCTTGCAATGAAAATGCTATTAAGTGGGATTTAACCTCTTGTTTACATTTCGCTTTTATAAAATTATCGAACACTCCAATAATACCTGCCTTAAAGTTGTTTACCTCTTTCACTGACTCTTCACTTAATTAATTAAGTTGTATTAAAGGCCAAACTTTGAGAAATGTTTACCTATCAATGCACCTAGTTATAACGTTAAGAATATGTATTCAACGAAAATAAATAGTTAAACTTTAATTATTTATTTTAATATATGAAAGGATGGTGTTGTTTCCAAATTCAACAGATATGACAGTCATAGATATAAAAATATACTGAGTATAAATTAACTTCATGATCGAATTTATTGCTTCAGTTGCACGTTACGGCAGCAAAACGAATATATATGAAAATATGTTACGCATGTTCAGTAACATTCCGAAAAAGATAAATTTCCATTTCATCTTATTATATAAATAACATGAAACCAAAGAAACTCGTTTCTTAAATAATTTTCAACTTCTTAGAAAATAATTTTTAATCTTTCGTAATATTGGTCCAAACTCATTTTTCTCTATAAACAATTTTCTTAGTATTTTCTCCACATTAAATACTGGGTCGTTTTAAAATCTTTTTTCCTTTGTATAACATGAATAATACTCGCCTTTGTTGCTACACATTAATACGCCGACTGCTGCACTTGAAAGATCCGGTTTGCGTATGGTCTATATATAACGTTCCTTAAATTGTCAGTCACTTTAAGGCTTGTTTATGGTAGCGCGTTCTATAAGTGCTCACCTTGTGTCTTTTGAATTCTATATATAATATATGAGGGTAAAATTTGATTTAAATTGTGATAGTACATCATTATCATGTATCAGAATTCTACTTCATGCACCAGAAAAATCATTTATTCGAAATATGTACGTATTTGAAAACTGAGTATGAAAGACTGGACCTGGAAGTTTTTACATTCAGTTGATGTTACAAATCGTTTATCAAATTGTCCTCTACATCCATCCCGTAAATTATGGAAATATTACCGAAATCTTATGCAGGGTGAGTCAAAATGAATGACCCGATTTCAAAGCTTTGCTATACTATAGGTAATTGCTGTATTTATTTGAAAAATAAGATTTGAAGATTTCCTTCAAGATTTAATATATTTAAGTTTCGAAAACGAACATCGAAAACATTAGTATGAGCTCAATTCGTCACATGGCATGCATCAAATGTGTAATGTAATTCTTTTCAAACCTTCTATAGCAAGTCTCTGTCGATGCTGGCTGTGGCAGTTATGATACGGGCTTTCAAATCAGTGATAGTCGTTGGATATGGAGACTTACAAACGCGATCGTTTACAAACCTCCACAAAAAGAAATCTCATGGAGTAAGATCTGATAATCATGGTGGCCAAGGTAACAGTTCTTTATGTCTTTGCGCTGAGCCACTAATCGGCCGATACGACATCTTTTATTGAGGTAGCACCAAACTTCTGGCCAGGCATTTCATCTTGTAGATGTGATAGAATTGGAGAACACAAATCTAGTCACAGTCGGTTCACAAAAATTAAACTAGTCCATATGCCTTTTGAATGAAAAGTGGGTAAAACGCATTAATTTTGGGGAGATCACGTTCGTGTTTCAACACTGCATGTGGGTTCTCTGTATCCAAATTACATGGGTACATTGCATTACACCACCTGCATCCCCGTATTTAGAACCATTTAGCTCCGAATCGGAAAGGATCCAAATGATTCTAAACAAGGAGATGCAGGTGGTGTAATGTAATGTAATGTAATGTACCAAAAAATCTAATATAATCCCTATTAAGCGTTCTGGAACAGTGAAAAGTGGACTCATCCTTGAATACTAACTTTGCACAAAAGACATTGTTCTCCATTGATGTAGGAATTCTATCCCAGAAATATAAATGGGGATTTACAATGGCAGCTGCACTTACCTGCTTTCGAAACTTTAAAACAGGGTGTGTGTTTTTTTAAACTGACACTACTCAGAGACATATGTAACTTGAACTATCAGCTGAAATGCCAACAAATTCGGTAGGGGGACTAATGACGACATGACAAAAAAGATTCCGTGAAAAAAAATAGTTCCTAAAGTCGCCCATGGGGAAAATGTAGCACTGTTGTAGTCTACACAACTGATAATTAGACAAATGAATAACAAAGAAGAAATTTCAGTGCAACACCGCTATAAGACAGCAAATGAACTTCCCCAAAGAGTTACAGATATGATATTTAAGTGCACTATAGCACTTTATTCAATAAAAGAACCTCCTCGGCGAGAGCATAGACCTTTTTCAATGTGACCATATTTCTCGTGGACAAAACGTTGCATTCTGTACACAGCATTCTCGACGGTCGACAGGAATGCTTAGCACAGCCCGTGATATATTGTCCTTTAAGGTCGTCAAGGTCGGGATCCCACCAAGATAGACCTTGGACTTCAAATAACCCCACAAGAAAAGACACATGGGGCTATATCTGGGGAGAATGGACATGGAGAATGATGTGTACAGGACGCAATGTGTGGTCCACGAGAAGGGTTGTCACATTGAACGAGGTCTGTGTTCTCCCCGAGGAGGTGCTTAATTGAAATAAAGTGCTATGGTGCACTGAAATGTCATCTCTGAAATCCTCTGGGGCAGTTCATTTGATGCATTAAAATGGTGTTGCACTGAAATTTTTTCTTTGTTATTCATTTATCTAATTTTCACTTGTATATACTGCAACAGCGCCACATTTTCCCCTATCGGCGACTTTCAGAACTAACTAATTTTTTTACGGAATATTTTTTCCCATGTCGTCACTAGTCTGTTTGCCAAATTTGGTGGCATTTCAGCGGATAGATCGAGCTACATATGGCTCTGAGTAGGGTGAGTTTAAAATAAACACCCTGTTTATTACCTCCTGAAGTACTCCCTGTACTTTTCAAATCAGAGCATTCATTTTTACTCCCCCTGTACTTTACCACAAATTTAACTATTTTTCAAGAATACATTTATTACTCTGGATGTACAAGT